AATTAAAAAATGGGCAAAAGATCTGAACAGACACCTCATCAGAGAAGATATACAGATGGCAAGTAAGCATTATGAAAAGATGCTCACCATCATGTAGTTAGGAAATTGCAAATTAAAACAATGAGATCTCACTATACATCTATCAGAATGGCAAAAATCCAAAACACAACACCAAATGCTACCAAGGATGTGGAGCAATAGGAAATCTCATTCACTGCTGGCAGGAATGCAAAATGATACAGTTCTGTCTGAAGACAGTTTGTCAATTTCTTACAAAGCTAAACATAACCTTGCCATATGATCCAACAATCACACTCCTTGCTATTTACACGAAGGAGCTGAAAACTTACATCCACACAAAAACCTGCACATGAATTGTTTATAGGAACTGTATTTATAATTGCCAAAACTTGAAAGCAACCAAGATGGCCTTCAATAGGTGAATGGCAAACCAAACTGTAGTACCTTCATACGGAATATTATTTAGTGATAAAAAGAAAGGAGCTATCAGGTCACAAAAAGCTCTGGAGGAACCTTAAAAGTATATTACTAGGTCAAAGAGCCAATCTGAAAAAGCTACATACTGTACAATTTCAACCATATGACATTCTGGAAAAGGCGAAACTATGAAGACATTAAGAGGATCAGCAGTTGCCAGAGGCTTGGGGGGATGGGAAGGAGGAACAGGTGGAGAACAGGGGATTTTTAGGGCAGTAAATGGCATTACACATACATCAAAACCCATACAATGTTCAAAGCAAAGAGTGAACACTAATGTAAACTATGGACTTTAGTTACTACTCAAAAAATAAAATCTATTAATTTAAAAAAGGGGGTGGGGCAAGGAGGGAAAGCTCTGCTTTCCAGAGGAATATTAACCACTGTAAAAGTGAAAAATTAAAATGTTACCATTTGGCAACCACCACGTGAGAACTGATTCAGTAATTCTATTTTAACTTTTTAAATGGAAAGTAAATCACCATTTCTTTCTTCTTTTTTTTTTTTTTTTTACTATTATTACTTTTTTTTTCAGTTACAGTTGAAATTCAATATGATATCAGCTTCAGGTACATAAATCACCATTTCTAATTTAAAAAGAAAAAAGTGAGTTTGAGCTCTGAGCAACAGCGGTTCGAGTCCAGCCTGAGCTGAGCAGCCACTGGGCTGCCAACAGGTAGCAGGATGGCTCAGCTTAAAAAAAAAAAAGAAAAAAAGAAAAAAGCTATTAAACCACAAAAAGATTTGGAAGAACTTAAAATGCATTCTGTTAAGTGAAAGAAGCCAGACTGAAAAAGCTACATACGTACTGTATAATCCCAACCATGTGACATTCTGGAAAAGGCAAACTTATGGAGGCATTGATTCATCAACTGTAAACAAAGGTACCACACCAATGCAAGGTTGTTACTGATGGGGGAAACTATATGGGGGGTGGGAAGACAGAATATACAGGAACTCTCTGTACTTCCTGTTCAATTTGTCTGTAAACCTAAAACTGCTCTAAAAATAAAGTGTATTATAATAATTTTTTAAAAAGTTAGGCTTCTCTCAAATCAGTGAAGGTCTACACAGTATTGCAGAATCAAAGAGCAAACATATCATAGATAAGGCACAATCTGCTAAGACAACATGTAGACAAAATCTACCTTAAGGGCAAGCACAGATGTCAGCAGAAGGGACGTGAAAAGAACTTTGCTCTTCTTTAAAAATCAGAGCAGAGTTTGATGGCAACCAGGAAAGCATGGTGCCAGCTACCCAGAAGCTGTCTAATTATTACAAGTACCGGTAGCTTTTTTTCACAGGTCTACCCATTGTTGGCTTTAAATGGACAGATTTTAAGTCTACTCCAGTTAGCTTTGGATAGCAACAAATTCAGAGTCATGCCCAGCAGCAAAACAGTGACTATAGAATCTTTATTGGAAGAATAGTGGACAATCTGCTAGAAAGAGTGCAGGGCATGCACAACTGGTTTACTTGGTGCAATGACTAAATGTAAAGATGAGTGCAATTTGTGACAATCCAATCAATGTGCTCTCATCTAATGGTTTACTGAGTAAAGAAACATTAAGGGCTAATAGTTCCCTTTCAGGGTAGTGTCCGCTTATCAAAGCACAACAAATTATACTGATTTGGTTCCATTTGCTTTTATTCTCTGAGCTAATTTATATTTTCTAACAACATCCCTAAATATCTACTACTTCTGCTCAGATTAACAATCCAAGAAATCTGGAGGAAACAACAAACCCAGCTCCTAAATGAGGTATGTTGAATGTTAGGGAAAAAAATAACTCCGATTTCTACCCCTTGATTATAGTGTTTAAACTCACCTTCCATGCATTCATTCACAGATTCATAGTCAGCGTAAGTTCTTCCTTCTGGCCTCTTGGTAGGCTGTACGAGCAAAATGGTGTGAGACTGCAGGGGAAAAACATGATTTCAATATAAGTTTCTAACTCATATTTGAGAATTCATAGTATGATATAAAATCCTTCATGGCAACTTTCACGATTTTCAATACTTACTGTCCAATGACAAGGATCAAAAATGACTAAGAACAAAAAACTGACTAAATTTACAAATCTGTAGTCAAAATGGTTATTATTTTTAAGTGGCAGTGCTTTCCTGTTACAAGTTTTAAGATCGTAATACCTCCCAAACCAGTTTTGGTCACTTTCCTCCTATTGGAGCTATTTTCAGAACCCTTTGGTTTTATTAAAAATCCAAATATATTTGTCTTATCAGTTTTTTTCCTTCTTCTGAAATAGATCTGGTCCTTGACTTCCTTGTGGTCTTTTTTCTAAGGGGAATGACTAGTACAAAATATGTATTTAAAAAAATAATTTAAAAAAATACACACACACAAAACATAAGTACATTTAGGCATACACACACAGGGCACGCACACTGAGGGTGCCAAAAAATGTACACATTTTAAGAGATGTTATCTATGTATTACTTTTCAAAGTTGAATTGAATTACAGTAGCAATGTTTAGTATGATGTTCACTCAAAAGATGGTGTTAATCAAATGAATGCTAGCGTCATTCATTGTATTACAATTTTAATAGTTTTTTCCTTTCTTAAAATGTGTATACATTTTTTTGGGCATCCTCTGTATATTTATATTTGCTACAATAGGGAAATAAGATTGTGAAACCTAGTCAGGAAGTTATGCAGAATTATCTTAATAAAATCCCTGTTCTCTATGATTACCAAGCAGCTGTGAGTCACTGTAATGAACGGTTAATCTGGTTTTGTTAATTTTTTTTAAAGTCTCACAAACATGAACCCTAAGAACAATATGATACATACAATTTGCTCATTAGCTCTGAAAGAAATTGAAGCTTGTATCTCCCGTAAAGCAAAAATACTTAAGACTTCTGAATCAATAATTGTTTGCTTTAAATACAAATTGTAATTTTTTAATTCTATTTGGACAGATAAGGAATTATCACTGACATATGTCCAACAAGAATGGTAGTTGATATTAACTGCTGTCACTTTCTCAGATTTTATTCTAAGCATTTTTACACAATACCAAATAATAACATAGAAAGCAGAGAAAGGATAGAGGTAAAATGACTTGCTCAAGGTCACATTGCTAGTTATGACAAAACAGGAACTGGAACCCCATTTTTCTAATTCCTAGTCCTCTTTGGGAGCCTCTTTTGGGTTAAACACATAAATATCTCAACTCAGAAAATTTCAACCTGAAAAAGTGCCTTTTTAACAATAGCTGCATAACTTGTTAACAGTTACTGCAGTAACTAAGAAATGAAAGTTGAAGTGTGGAAGTAACCATGATTTCTCATAATCCCCGTGAGCATCTCCTTTTTGTGAATAAAAAACAAAACAAAACCAAAAAACCACCCACCCACTCCACTACTACTCAGATTCTAAGGAACCTGGACCCTCAGCTGGGCCTTTTTTTTTTTTCTTTCCCCAGCCCTCCAGGTCACAGAGAATATAAATATGGGTAAGAACAAGACTGGGGGCTGAGACTAACGCCAAACCAGGCATCTAGGAGTCTTGGAAAAGAGAAAAAAAGTTATATTAAATATATATATATATGTATATTTACTAATTTATTTTTAAAAGACAGAGCACAGAAAAAAACGGGGGGGAGGGGTAGTTGAGAAAGCCCACTACAAAGCAAAGACGAACAGGCCCACACTTTGAGTGCAATAAATTGAAACTGTCAGCTTTGGGAACAGATTTGTCAAGCATTCCTCGGCCATTGTTCCTACAGCAGGCTAGAACGTTTGGAGGGAGACATCCTACTGCCTGTCTCCACCAAGGAGCAATACGGAGAAAGCGCATCCTGACCACCACACGCCTCGCCGGAGCCAGCAGGAGGGCGCGCAACCGTAGGGCGGACCCGCGCTCCGGGGCCTAGCGCCAGGCCCAGCGTCTCCACGGCGGGAAGCCTCGACCCACAAGCTGGGGGCCCGGGGAGCGGCAGCATCCTCGCGCTGTATTAGGTGGGCAAAGGATGTACCAGGCTGGGTTCACCCGGAGGCTGAGGACTCGGGGAGCCGCTGAGGCCTTTCTTACCATCGCGCCAAACTCTTTCACTGCAGCCGCCGCCGACACTGCCGCCGCACACGAGCTTAGCCACAACGCCGCCAACTGCCAATCCCCGCGAGAATAGCCACCGGAAATCGTCAGAAGCGCGAAAGAGCCTTTTGGACCATAGAGTCTCACGCATTTCGGCAGCTAGAGCAGATATCGACTCTGTTTCAGCCATCTTGGTTAAGGGCGATGAGATACACAGGGAATCTTTCGGAACTTGAAAAAAAGAATCTTTTTTTCAAAACTCTGTATTCTGTACTCTCGTTATTAGACATACTGCTAAAGTGATAACCGATGTAGCTAGTGACACAAGTCAGCTTTTATTAGCCCTATTCAAAAATGGCGGCAGTATAGGAATCCCGGGCCAAAGGGCGGTTGTAACCCGGATGTACTCTTCTAAAGGAGAGGGCGGTGAGGCAATCCGGAAGTGAATGTAGTGAAGGGGTGCCACTTGGCGGCCATGGCAGCTGTAGTATCTGTGACTGCGGGTCAAAGCCCTGCAGAGTGGAGTAATGTGGGCAGCACCGGGCGTAGGGCAGAGACAGCTTTGTGTCGGCTTCGCTGCTGAATACCTAAGACCCGTCGTTAGAGACTTGTAGGACTCCTTTCCCCATTGTAGACTCGGAGGAGAGTTTGCCGGGACTGGTGGGCTGGTCCCAGCCTGTGGGGATCACCAGCAGGGTGCCCCCAGGGAACTAGGGGCTCCGAGAGAACGAACAAGTTCGCTTGGGTTTTCCTTCTTTTCCTGCTGCCACCTGAGACGTTGTCTGTGGAGGGAGTGGGCCCATTGTGCCATCCTCATTCCGACGATTGAAGAAGTCGCTCTTTTGCATCTTTTCCCCATTGCTTTTCCCTTCTGTAACTGTTACCCACCGGAATCCAGTGACTGGCGTCTGAAAACACGGGGGCTAGGACCTAAGACTGCCGAAAGTTCTTTCTGGTGCTAATAGCAGCAAAAGGGGGCTGTTTCCAGGTACGCTCAAGAGAAAGGTGCCTCGAACATTTCTGGTGGGGAGGACGAAAGAACTGGAAAGTCTACTTGCTCTCTTGGAATCACCACACGCGTTTAAGAACCTAAGCACCCTTTGAAGACACTGAAAATTTGTAGTCTGGTGGTGGTAGGTGAATAAAGGAGGGCAGAATGGATGATTTCATCTCCATTAGTCTGCTGTCTCTGGCTATGTTGGTGGGATGTTACGTGGCTGGAATCATTCCCTTGGCTGTTAATTTCTCAGAGGTAAGAAACTCTCAATTTTGTGTTAGCTGTCAGGATGGCTGCTAGGAAGTAGTGACAGCTGTAAAGGGAAGTTGCCTGCTTCCCCAGTTAATCTCAGAGCTAAAGGTCTTATTAAGGAAAACTGTCTTTTAAAAAGATGCATAACGTATAATAATAGAAACAAACCTGAAATTCAGTGTTAGAGTTATTACTATAGGGTGGGTGGATCCACTGCAGATCCTGGAGTACTCTGTACGTAATTTCAGGGAATTGCATACAAAGATTTGGGGCTCTGCATTTTTCTGGAGAGAAGAACCATAACATTCTTTTGATTTGCAGGAGTTTCAAGGAATGAAGTTTCCAGATTGCTACAAAGAAATGTAAATAGTGAATGTTATTTATTCATATGAGTTGAAATCAATATAACTTCTCTTTTTGAGAAAATCAAGTATAGTTTTTTGGAGTAAGGTAGTTTTTTAGTTACCTGTATTAGAATGAAGTAACAAAAATGCTTATTTAAAAAAAACCTTAAATTAGATTCTTAACTCACATTTCCTTTTAAAAAAGGAGAGCATTGGACTGGATAGTCAAAGTTTTCAAATCCATTTGCTTAGATATTAATTTTTTGTTAATATGTTTGACGTTTTTGGTTAATTCGTTGGGTTGTCATTACTTGAACAAAAATTAACAGGGAAGAAAGATAGATGAAAACATTATTCAATGAAAATGCAGATAGCTTCTTCAGGTTGTCAGAAAAAGTTCACACGTACACAGTGCTCAAAGATTTAGAAAGGAAAGACTGGATTGGGAGAAACAGGATTACATGAGTATGCCCTGGGGTTCAGCAGTAAAACAGGCCCTCGTGTTACTGCCAGTCCTGAAAGAAAGGACAGGGGAGAGGAGAAAGGAAAGGTATAGATGAGGTGTGAGGTAGGCCTTTGCTGGTAAAGAAAATAGCCAATGGGTGGGAAGGAAGGTGGGACTAGGCCTTATGAGTTTGAGAAATAGTAAAGCCCACAGCCAGCTGGAAAGGAGGTTTGAATTGTTGCTTCCTTTCCATTTATTTTTTGTATCTGTACTCCTCAGCATCTAATGCCAACATTGAGCTAAATTTTTTTGAGCATGTACATTACCTAACTTCATTTTAAAAACTCAGTGAGGTACAGATGAGGAAACTGAGACTCAAATTATGTAACTTGGATAAGTTCATGAAGTATGTTATAATCAAAATTGTTTTTTAAATCTCGGTTTTTCTCACAGTAATTGTTAGCTACTCTGTCCATTGTGGCAAAGGTAGCAAACTGGTAGCCCTTGTACCAAACCTAGCCCACAGACTTAATTTGTTAGACCATTTCAGACCATTTCGTTTTATTATTATTGTTTTTGTCTGTATTTCTTCAAGGCAACAGTTGGCTAGAGCTGAGTAGTAGATTGTCACTGTCCCCTTGGTTATGCATGAAGCCTACTGAACTCATTTTGGCTACCTGCCCACCCAGTGCTTTGTGAGCCTGCTGTCTTTCTTCTAACATAAACCATATTTTCTTGTAATACATCAGAACTGAATTGACTTTAATAAGGCTGACATTTGTGAGGTTAAGTAGGTTTGTATATTTAAAATTTTATTGAGTTAACATTTATCAAAAATTATAATTCAAATACAAAACCAATAAAACTTCTTATTTCTATAAAATACTTAGGACTTTTCCCATTTCAGTATTTTCTCAAACTGTCTTGGGTGATTTTTGCAATATACAGATATATGCTATTTTAATTTTCACTGAAAGGAAATGTGTACATGAGTGGTGTAATTAACCAGGCCATTAATAAAAATAATTAGTACAACACCTCATTTATTGGCTTTCTAAATAGATGGTTATGTGTTCTTTTCCAACTGTAGGTTTTAAAATGCTATAAATCAGCATTCACAGTATCTGTTTGTTATTACAGCAGGAACAATGCATTTTGAGCTATTAGAATAAAAATGAAAGTTGTATAGAACTTAGCCAAACGCAAAGAATTTTTTTTTAATTTAATTTTTTT